TTGCTGATGTTCTGAAGCAGAAAGCTTAGGATCGTCCAGGGATGAGGTCAGTGTGAAAGCTTTGACTTTGACCTTTCTAGTAATGAGTGATTCCTGCTGCTCTTGAGTATTCATCTGTTCATTTATTCATCAAACATTTCTTAGGGCCATGAACATTAATATGGCACCTTCCAGATTACGGTAGAACTCCAGAATTTCTGTCCAGTAGAGGTTAGACTCATCACCTTTGGAACCAGATGACTTTGTGTTAAATTACTGATGCTGCAGTATACCTGCTGTGTATCTTGCAACAGCTTTTCTTAACCTCTCTGAATCTCATTTCTCATCTCTGAAGTGGAGGTTTTGGGGCAACATTTAGAGCATCTTCTGCATGCACAAATCTAGATTTTGTGTCTCACTGACTGCAACAGAGGCAATGGAAATTCCTTACTCCAAGAATGTTTTGTTTTTTATTTATTTTTAATATTAAGCAATTTTAAAATTATTTTTTATATATAAGCATGATTATATATGATATATCATATTATGATATGTATGACATATTATCTTACATATGGTGTAATATATGGTGTATATACGATATCACATAAATAGGATTATGTAGTATATCATTTTATAATTCCTTGTATATATGGAGCCTGCAAAATTTGTATTTGCTAAGCTGCCAGACAGTTGTCATAGTAAGTCAGAGAAGTCAACAGTAAGGTTTCTAATGCCTTCCCTATAAGAGAATTAGATTGGATCTCCTGTTTCATTAAGCATCCCTATACAAGATTTTGCTTCTTGATCTAAGTAGAAAATACCAAATGAAATTCTCATCACAATCTTAGTCTAGTTTTTTTTTTGATAAAATTTCTCTTAAGTCTAAGGTATTTATTCTGTTTCTTATCAAGTCTATGTCTCAAAGAATTTGACAGACATATATGCAAGGCTTTGTGTATGCAAATACATCAATGTACTCATTGAGGATGTGGCAAGAACTTAAATTAGGCCTTGTTCAAGATGAGCATCGTTCTTGATAGCCCCTTAATAACCATTAGCTACCACTAGAGGGTCATGGGATGGTTTTTGACAGGAGGGAAAGAGTACATGTGTGGTGGAAAGTTCTCCAAAGGTTTAGGATATAGGGATGGAGGGAGTTCCCTCTGCGGCCAGCGGAACGAGAAGCTACACCACAGGACATGAAAACCACTTTGGATTCCTGATTGTGGGCCTGTAGGCTTGTTTTGTTTTGGTCAGCAAGGAAACTGAATCTGAATGGTTTTAAATAAGCCTAGTCTTTGCTGGACCCACCATAGGATCCACTATCCCTTGTGTTATCTGTCAGATTTGTCAGGCTGTTGAAGGCATTTGTGTTTATCTCGGGTGAATATAAACTTGCAAAACCCCCACAGAATCCCAGACTCCGATTCTGAACACAGACCGAAGTCCACATGAGGTTTTAGAGCTGACCTCATTCTTATTGTGCAGGCCTCTGGTTCTTGCCAAGATGACACAGAGGAAATTTCGGAAGGTTTGATTCACTGGGTGGGGTGGGATATGGCAAGCTAAATCTCACACTGTGGGAGGATCCCAATGCTTCCTTCCCCAGCATCTTTGCCACTATTTCGCTGCTTCTTATTATACCTCCTAATCTGAATCCATCCTAGTTTTATTTTCTTGATTTTCACTATTCACATTTCAAAGGAGTAATCAAAATTCTGTAGAAAGGATCAGCAATTTCACTGAGAAATGGTGGGAAAGTATGGTAGGCCAGGGACCTAGGCTCAATTTTTTCTATTTAATATAAAATTGCTGTTTGTCTGTGGAGCAGATTTTTTTGTTTTTTGGTCTTCACATGCCACCTATGGGAAGGTTGAAGCAGGCAAATAGTAGTATGGGTGTTTCAAAGGGATATATCTTTAATAATATAACAATGATTTAATCAAACCTACCTCCTATAGCATACTTTGATTTAACAGCAGTGCAAATATTCCTGTTTATTCTTTTTCTAATGTAATAACATAGTATCTCCACAAGTAAGTAATTGCAAGTATATTATATCCATCATTTCAAAATCTTTCTGATATACTTGTGTGGATTGAAAGCTAAGTGTTTTGAAGATTGTGCATAGAAGAAAAGGGCTGATACACATCAGTGATTGGAATAATGTTGGTTACTGTTCTTTGTCTTGGACAGCACTATGTAGCAAGCAATATAAAGATGTCATTGTTCTTGGTCTTGGGAATAGGTCTTTTTCTTTCATGTGAATATTATCTATTTTATAGAAATGTTACTTATTTTTCCAAAAACTTAAATAATTTTTAAACAAAGCAAAAATTAGGGCTACATTAGGAAAGAAATAAAATATAAGGTTACTCCATATAAGATTAGGTATATAACTTTAGAATCTTAGTATTCTCAGACTTCCCATATACTAAGCACTACTTCATTCCTTGCCTTGTACATATTCTATGAGAACTTCAACTGACTATTTTGTTGACAAAACTTCTTGTGCCTCTGTAAAGTGGTATTAATTCACCTGGTGGTATTAATTCATCTTTTAACTCTTTCAATCATCAGTTTTTCCTGAGCCTCATATCTATCAACAAAATGTTTTTGTCTCCACAGACATTCAATCAGTGTGGTATAGACTGGCTTCAAAGATCAAACACACACAAGGGCAAATTTACTTTTTAACAGATGTATATTCAAAAATTAAAAAGCAAAACAAATTGCTCCTGTCAAGTTCAGACTCCCTCAAGGCAAGGACAGCATAAAAATGGCAGGGAGCAGCAGTAAGTCATTCATGACTAAAACTTAGAATCTAACTGAGTTGTACTGAATTGAACCAAGCAACAAATTAGAAATATGGAGGCCACACTGGCCCCACTATTTTTATTCCTTCTAACTCCAGGCACCACAGAGAGAGAAATGACTAAATCTCTATTTTAATAGCTGCTGTCAAGAGTTTTGCTCTGTAGGGCCTATTTCAGCAGTTCCTGGTGGTAATATATGGCATTTCCCTGATTAACAGCCATTTTATAACCTGTGTAATTGGCCACAAATCAAGGGAATGTCATAATGTAGCAAGAAAACATTCCCATCTCCATCATAGCCTTGGCTTGGTTTTCTGGAGGAATTATTACTTGAATAGTTTGTGGGTTTTCATTACTTTAAATAATGTACTACCTGAAGTACAAAAAGAGACATTTAAACTAATGAATGTTTCTGTCTCCTCACCCTTTCTACCACCTCTGTCCTCAGATTCCTCAGATTTCCTTTTCAAATGCTGAAAGTGGAATTTTCTCTTCATTTTCATAGTACACAGACTTTTTGGGGGAAACAAAGATAAGGGCAGGACTGAGATTAGGGTGAGGTACATAAAGCACTAACCTCAGCTGTGGAATTTAATGAAGCACTCCAAAACTCAGCAGTCAAAGTAGGAAGACATTTTTTTTGCTGTAACTTGGGATTGACCCAAGTCTTCATGCATGCTAGGCTCCTGCATATCTATCCCATGAGCCACACTCCCAGCAAAATAGAAATATTTGAAGGGATTATTTAAAACAAAATTTATGTCACAAAAGATCCATGATGAGTGCAATATTAAAATGTTGAATAGACAGGATTTGCCCCACATTGCAAGACTCATCTTGCTTGCCTGTCCCTTAGCTCCAGACCTAAGCAAGACTACTGGGTAAGAAGTAGTTTCCACAATGTGTTGGGATTGACTCCACTTTTCCAACAAGAAAGGAGATTTTGGCTCTTTATAGTCACTCTTCTATTGTAACAAGAGAGCTATCACCTACACAGAATTATGTCAGTGAGGAGCATTTTACTATCAAAAGAGTGCTTTATAAATAGCTATCATTCACAGTTGTAGACCAAATTTTATTGTCTTAAAGCATGCAAAATGTATCTTTTAAACGACCTTTTGTTTTAGCATAAGTAAAGACCTCCATCAGTCCTTTATTAAAAGAAACCATATAATTATTTCCAAATTTGAATTGGTCAGTATGATATACACTAGATATTCAAAATTACAAAGACCCTATGTCTTTCCTGGCAGTGGGTTGATGGGAAAATGTGTGCACAGAGAAGAAGCATGTAAGATAGAGTGCTAGGTTTCCTGGAGGAGATCACATCTGAGTTTTTTTTTTTTTAAACATGGTCTTGTTCTATACAGCCCAGATTAGTCTTGAACTCACAATATTCCTGCCTCAGCCTCCCCAGTGCTGCTTAGCTAGATCTCGAGGTTCTGACAGAAGGTAGTTAGATGAAGAGGGATGGCAGGGAGAGGGGGTAAGGCATTACAAGGAGAAGTAATAACTGTGTGAAAGCATGGAATCTTGGCATGATAGCATGTTTGGGGGGTTTGTGAATATTCAGGTAGCTTGAGGAGGTGGATGCAAACCAGAAAATGATAAGGGATATGACTAGAAAGAGAAACCAGAGGCAATCCAAGTGAGAAAAAGGCAACACTGGAATGGAATAGTAAATAGAATAGCTTACATGGTTAAGAATATAGTTGTAACACAAAACCCTAATGTATCAGGGATATTTTATGCAATTTGACTTTTTTAATGAGGCATAAAAATATGTGAGAAAATGTATTTAAAATATTTGAAAATCTTTTCAGAGCTCACTAACAAAACTGAAAGTTTCACAATGATATTTATGCTACATTCTCCTAAATCATTTGAGTTTCATTTTTGAAACTAACACAATAGAATTTGGTACTTTAAAAATTTATCATCCTAAAAGTTACTAAACTTCAGATATTGGTAAAGGAATGCCATAAAAATTAGGTTAAACATATGAGTTATTCCTCAGTGCCAAATAAAATGTGAAGACAAAATATAAAATTTGTGAGAACGTTTACTTGTATTATATCAATTTTATAGTATAATCACAAAAGTCATGCTGAAACAACCTCATTCTCCAATAGTGTGATAGAATATCTTCCTCCAATTATCATGCAATTATCCTGAATATAATAAAAACATCGGCCCACTAACCTCGTACATCATTTGCTAACTTCTTGGCCGCATTAAGAATCCTGAAGCTTTTTTGAAGAGAGCTTTTGGCATCTTCCTTTAGTAAGCCCTGAGGACTTGTTGCCTGTGGACAGAAAAAGAGGTATTAAGGCTCTAAAACCATAAAATAATGGAAGAGAGAGATCCAGAAAGCAATTGGTACACTGAGTTTACTTTCTGGCCTACAGATTTATAATTATAAATTATCAATTGAAAATTGTTTGGTGACTGGAGATTAAGAGACGAGAAGTCCAGAACAGAATCCTTTGAAATACAATGTTTATGCTGAACAAAGTGGCTAGGATTTCATCAATGAAAAGGAGAGCTAAGGGAACATATGGGAATTAAGAGAGAGAGTACCTCAGTGCATGATCACCAGAGTTGCAAGGACATACCTAGTCGGTATCATTGAGTGCTACAAAAGTCAAGCAATTAAGAACCAAAAGGATCCACTGTCTTTATCCCTAAGCATACCCCACACTACTTGTGGAGTGAGTGAAACGCATTCCCTATATCCTCTGAGTGTTGAAATGAGAAAGAACACTGCTCCCTTTTTAAATTCATCTCAAAGTACCATAGCAAAAACACAAACTTCTAAATGACAATCTCAGAGCCATGATCATCTCTAGCAAAGATGTATTTGGAAGGCTTAGATTAATAGGAGTGACACAAAAATAATAGAATTGGAAAAGGATCATTTAACTTGACTGTCTAGTTATCCATTTTAATAGTGTTTGCTCCCTAGCAATCATTACATAATGTATATATGCCAAGAGATAAATCAAACAGGATCTTATGTGTGAATTTTAAATTGGAAAAGTATTTCAAGGTGCAAGAGGGCCAACAAATGCTACATGTTTACTGTTAAAGTTATAAATCTAAACTTGGCTTATCCCAGTTAAAATGCTCTAAAAAGGCATCTATGTGCACTACTAACATTATGTTCATCAGTCATGTTATTTGAACATTAAAGACCTTGGTGCTGTTGCAGATCAAAGTGCTATTCTAAGTTATTTTTGGTGTGTGTGTGTTTGTGTGTGTGCATGTGGTATTGGGGATTGAACTCAGGGTCTCTTGCACTGAGCCATATACTCACCCTCCAGCAGTACTTATTTAAATTACTGCTCACAAGACAGATTGTCTATACGATATTATGATATCTGCAGAAAGACATTAGAAACATCTGCATAAGTAGAAAAGGATATTATGCATAAAAAAGATAACCTCAGGAAATTATTCTACAGAAAACTGGCAGTGACTACCGCTAGGAATATAAGAATTCTTAGATCCCCATTTTATCTTATGAGTGTAGTAATACCACATAAGTGTTATTTATCTTGGGAAAAACTAAGTGTAAAAATGAATGACACAAATTCAGTAGATTTTCCTTAAAAAGTGAGCCTAAGTTTACCAAGTTGGGTTCTGTATTTGTTTCAATTTGTGTATCATTGTTATTCCCTTGGTTGTAAATTTTCTGACTAAAGGCAGATTATATAGGAAATTATAAAGAAAGAAGAAGTGAAGTTTCTCTAAATAGACACATGAAAACAGAAGAAGCGACAGCTGACAATTTGTTTGACAATGAAGAGTAAGAAAACTCTAAAAAGTAGAAAGAATTTTCAACGCTTAAGAGTTTAAATCAATTTGGTGCTAGTTATTTTTATCAGTAGTAAAATAACTGGTGCTGATAATGATGATCCTAAATTACCCAGATTATATGGGTCTCTGATAATACTAGACACAACTTTTAAAAAAGAAGGGAAGCAAAAGAAAACAGGGGCTCTGTAGCCTCAGACTGTGAATGTCGTTTTGTAAGGACATAATCTGAAAAGCATGGGAAAAATCACAATTTTAAAGGTAATCTTGGATGTGCAAAGTGAGACACTGAAAAGAGTTGCTTTGCTGTGCAAAAGAAAGCTAAAGGGAACAGATGGGAGAGAGAAAGGAGGGAGAAGGATCAATCAGCATCAAAAGGGGCTAACATGTGAGCTGTGGCTATTATCGAGGGGCATGATTGATCAGTGATGATCACTAGAAAATTTTCTACTTATTAATACATGTCAGTAGCTTACAGAGATATAAATGGCAGAAACTGCATATGCACAGAATTTACAACTTAAAGTTTGGTTTTTTTGCTTTGTTTTTTTCCCCTTTTTTATTATCATATTATTGTTGTACTGGGGGTACATGTGACATTTACAAAAGTTCTTACCATATATCATAGTTGAATTCACCCCCTCCATCATTCTCCTTTATCTCCCCCATCCCTGGAATAGTTTCAACAGGTCTCACTGTTTCATTTTCATACAAGTACATATTTCTACCTCCTACACTCTTTCCTTACATCCTCCCCCCTTCCACTGGTACCAACCCCCAGACAGGACCTGTTTTACATTCCTGTTCTGTATTTTTGAAAAAAGACATTTTTGTTTGTTTAACCTAAGTATAGAGTGTTTCACTGTGACGTAACAACTTAAAGTTTTGACATAGGTATACCATGAAACAATCACCACAAAGCAGAGAAGACACTATATCATGTCTTTTTAATCCCGCCTTTCTTCCCTCCATGCCCTGATAAACACTGATCATGTAGAGATAGATATTTTGGTGTGAGTTTTGGTAGTTTGTGATTTTTAAAAATTTGTACATTCCATGTACAAATTATTGCCATATAATTATTCACAATAATTTCTTAATATCCTTCACCACCTATTAAAGTTGTAGTCATTTTACCTCTGATAGGGCTATATCAGCTACCAATATTCCTCATATGGATAGTTGATAACCTTTCTGATTTTTGTCTATTAGTCGTACTGGATATTTATTATCTTACTGATCTTCTCCTGTAGTCTTGTATCTTTATCCAGTAACGAGACTGAGCTCTGACTGAAGATTACCTATTGATTGACATTCCTACTGCTATTTTATATTTTTTGTTTTTTTGCATTTTTGAATATCATTTGGTTTTTGTTTCCAGGGATCTTATCTTTCCTGCTTTTTAGAAAGCCACTGATTAGTCCCTGGATCTTTATAGTCAGCCATTCATTGCTCAGATATAAGAAGATAGGTGATATATTAGGTATGTATGAGGTGTAGTAGAAATAGGGAAAGGAAAGGTAGACAGGCAGGGAATTTTCATGTGTGGATGGGAGGACAAGTATTTCAGCTCCACAGGACCGCAGAGTTCATGGAGATAGTGTGGGGAAGTAAAGGTATAGATGGGGAGAGATGGTTTCTGGGAGGGTTCAGTGTCAAGCTAAGGAAACTAGGCAATAAGCAATTTGTTATAATGAAGTTTTACAGTAGGGCAGTGCAGTCAGTGACGCAGTTCAGGAAGATGAATTGGGTAACTCTACATGAGAAAAGAAGCTGCTATCAGTTGGCCATTATAATAACATAGGCCAGAAAATAGAGAATGGTAACCTCAGACAGCACCTATGAATGAAAAGGTTTGGATTTAGGCAATGTGGAAGAATAAGACTGTTTGCAGACACTCTCCAATATTGAAGTAAAGAACTGATGGCATACAGCTGTCAGTTACGAGCAATCTGCCAGCAATCCAGGTTTGAGAGGCAAGCTTTCCGTATGATAAAGGAATGGCAAACACTAGCATCTTATGGACGAACAGAGCTGTTTCGACTGATTGAAATTTGAAGAGACCCTTTTCCCACATTGCTTAGTGAGTTACTGAAGCAGAGCAACAGAATCAGGACAGGTGATGAAACAGTTTTCAAACTCATCATACTTCATGCATATTCATAGCATCACGTATGAATTTTTGAGCTGTGTCTACAGCATATGTGAAATACAAATGAGATTCTTAGAGTTGTAAGATATTTTGTTTCTTGCCTTTTAGAGGTCATACTTTTATAAATAGGTTCTTTAGTACTCAGTGTATGTATATATATGCATATGTGTACATACATAAATTATATAAAATGTGTTATGACATACAAAATGGAATGTATTATTATATGTAAATTTCTATAACTATTATTATTTTGTATTTAAATAGGGAAATGTGAAATAATTTAAGTCAGTAGGAAACATGCAGAAAAATGAAATTATAAATTATAAAAAGTTAATGGAAGGCTTGGCACTTAATTACATTTTAATATGTGCTAATTTCCTTCTTTCCATTTTGTGTTAAATGTTCATAGTGACTCTTGCTAAGACATATTATTGACTAATAGATGAATGAATGTATTAATTTATCTGACAAAAAGGTTTTTAGATATTTCAAACACCATAGTAATCCCTGAATATTCAATGGAAAGATGATACTTTCCCTGAAGATACTAGAATGCAGTGGTGTGGAGAGACAACCCCAAAAGTTACTTATAAAGAAAAATGATCATTGCCATAATGGGAGCAGAGAAAGGCCTAAGTGTTGGCTGTCAGAGGAGGAAGCTCTGTTAGGGGAATGAGACATAAAAGGGAGACCCGAAGGCAAGTTATAGTTTATCAGGGTGCTAAGCTTGAATCCAAGTCATTCATTTTCTGAACAAGCAAACTTGAAAATTGTATATATTGCTCTGAATATAAGTATAATTACTTTTATAATATTTCTCAAATAACTTTACTAGAGATAAACTTTCTAAATTCATGGAAAGAGTTGGCTCCAAGAGGAGAAGCAAAATGTTTTTTTGTGTGTTTGTTTGTTTAATTTTTAAAGACAGTAGGAACTAACAGCTCATCAGTATGATTTATTACTTACTCAGTTACTCCTTCTTTATGAAATAACTTATTTTAGAGGATAAATTTTACTTACTTCTAGAGGGGCTAATGTGCCAAGATAATATGATAACTGAGATGATTTTAGATTTCAAATCTTTTTAATAAAGAAAACTATGCAAAATGTGCAGGGTATAGGACATGTCACTGATGAGCTGAAGTGTGCTTATGTAAATTATGTATCAGAAGAAATTTATACTTTGGTGTGTTAAGCTACTGTTAAAAATCAGGGGTAATATTCTTACTAAAATAAAGTAAATTCTCAAAAGAAATGGTTGAATCTAGTCCTATGTATATTTTAAGATACAATTTTTTGAGACATACATATTTCTAAAAATATGTATGTGATGT